GGCTCCGGCCCGGCCCCGCCCCTCCGACTAGCATGGCTCAGAGCGAGCTCGGCGCCGGCCTCCGAAGCATCCCCACCGTCAGAGCCTGCCCATCTCTGCCTCCTACCAGCTCCGCCGCAGCTCGGTCCATAGATGCCGTTTGCCGCCTTCCTCTCGGAGCACACAGATTCTTCTCACACGCTGAGGCACACACCTGTTGCGCCCGAGTGTCTTATATAGGTGTTCCCGCCGCCCGCCAGCCAATAGGAGCCCGGAACGCCGCTCGCTTTTCCCGCCGTTTTCGCTTCCCGCCGCTTTTGCTTCCCGCCTCATCGTTCGCGCCCTTTCTCGCTGAAGGCGACCGGGGCGGGGTCACCTGAAGGTCACGGCCGGGGTCACCTGAGTGCACGGGCTCCTCGCAGGTACTGCCCATCTCCTCAGGGCAAAGCCGCCTCACAGGTGGCCCCAACAGGCACAGCGCTCTGGCAGAGCTGCGTGTGGGGCACTCATTTCTTCAATTTCAGTGTTTGTTTCTTTTAATGGTCATGTAAACGTTATGTGTTCCAGGGCAATAGATGTTCACAAGCATAATTAAAAACAAAACAAAACAAAAACAAAAACCACCAACAACAAAATTAATGAATTATTCAGAGACAACTCATGTCTAACTCTCTACAGGGAAAATGCCTTCCGAGCTCAGAAGTATTGTTACAGAGAGAAAAGCATGAAAAAAGCTTTTTCTTGATGTATGAAGTATATCAGTATTCAGTTGTTAACTCAGGATTTTCTTTTTTTTAAGGAGTTGCTTGTATTTTATAATTTATTTATGCACCATGGTTGGAAATGCTAAGTGCTAGCACTGCTGTCCAACCATTTGGTTTTCCTGGCCACAAGTATAAAGGCTGCTCTGAAAGTAATGCCTCCTATTTCTTTTCATGGAAGCAACAGTTACAATGAGCAGAGCAATTGTGTTTGATAGAGCAAGTTCTCAGCTGCAAAGCACTACTTTTTGGCACAGTCACTACCATTTGCTATGCATTTTTGCCACCAATGAAGAAAAGCCATTTTGTCAGACTGTCCCTCTGCTGCTACGTGCCACGCAGTAACAAAATGTAATGGAATACTGATGTGGAGGCTTTACTTAGGGTAACTCAGCCCTCATAAAATAGGTATCATATAGTTCTTATATATAGAAGTGAAGAAAACTTATTTTAATTTGTAATGGCTTTTACTGAAAGTTTTAAAAAAGAACAACAAAAACATAAAACCAGTAGAATATGAGTTAGTTTTTGTGAAACTAATGCATCAGGCAGGTTCAGTGGCAGTAGCTGCAGTTCTTAGTGAGCTCTGAAGGTGTTCAGGAGAGATTTTTGATGAAATTTTACTCTTCCTGTACTTTATCTTCGAGAACAGTTGTTTGCCAATGTAGATACTGTCAAAAAGCGATGATATGAATAAGGTGTGACTGTGAAGTGAGGTGTTTCTTTTTGGAAAGAGAATTTGGCTGATAAAACTCCAGCTGGGAGATGTGGTCAGATTTTTTATTACAGTTCCACACATTCCTTTTTAAAATATGAAGGTAATGTATTTACATTCGCTGAAAATGGAGTTGCAAATAAACCAAAAACTGATGATTTTTTCGGCACTTTTGAAACCTAGTCTCAAATGTCTTTATCAAAATAGAAAGCACAGCTGCATATTTTTCACTGTTCACAAGACTGTGTTTAGCCAATGTATCAAAATGCATACACTTATTTACTATCACTTGAGTTAGCACCATGCTGTGCCCACCCCGTAACCTGATTTCAGTCCAGACAGTGCTAATAGCACACCAGTGTTTGGCTGTTGCTGCTGGATGGTTGGGTCACTCAGTGCTATGAACCACTGTCATGATGGTGTGGGGCAGGGGGTGGCTGCAGGGTGTATGGGCTGGGTCGTGAGTTAGACTTGCCTGTGGTAGGGTGTCACCAGCTTGTATTTCCCATGTCCTTTTCCTCTTACTGAGTTAATCTTTGCTCTGTTGCCATAGCTGTGCCAGGAATCTTCTTTGCTCTCCCAACCCTCTTGGTTTGCATGTAATAGACAAATCTCCCAAATCTCTGACTGTTTCTGCTAGCATACAAGGGAGAATTAATACTCAAGTCAAATACGAGAGCTCTGTTTATTCTAATTTCTTCCCCACAACTGAAGGTAACTGTATGAGGAAGCTCTTGTAGACCGAGATGGATATATTTTGTGGCTTGTCTGATTGTTCCTGATTTTAAAGTGCTGTAAATGATTTCTTATATTGCATGATTTCTCATATTTGCAAGGGTCTAAGCTCAATATCCCTGTTGTTAGCTTTAATTTTTAATTGTTGATATATATTTTTTTTTAAGTGAAAACCACAGAGATGCTCTTGTCTTTTCTATCATGTTTAGCAGTAAAAAAAAAATCAAAAAATACGGATTATTCTATGCAGAGTCTCTGTTGTATTCATACTCAGTCTTGAATTTTCCACATTTCACATTCCATTTGGTGTTCTGATGTCCATTTAAATGGAACAAAACCCTATCTGCAGGCTTTCAGATTTTATATAACAGTAAGCAGATCTTAAGAATACTAAAAGGTTTAAAAGTAAACTATGAATAATTTCCACTCTATCCTTATTGACTACTTTTAAGATCCAATGCAGAATTAAATATCACAGACTTCAAATGAACTAGGGTTGCATCTCTTATGCTAAAGTGGCTGAACTCTGATGAACTAACTCATTTTCTGCAAATCATTTTTTTATATAATCTGCAAATATTTCTGGTTTTAAAACCACCACTTTGTTAATGTAGTTTTTCAGGAAGATAAAGAATTTTAGATCATCCTGAATAGTTAAAAATTACAATGTATGTCTTATCATAAAAATACCTTAATTAGCCAGTAAGCAGACTAATATTGCCAGCTTTATATTTTAATAGATGCTAATTTCCTTAAATGCTTTTTGGGGAGTAAGATGAACAAATAAAAATGTTGTTCATTTCAGATGCTGTTCATTCAGATGCTGTTCATCTATGTCACTACTTTAGGGGCTTTTATTTTTAATGGATGGTATTTAATGTTCTTCCTATCATTAACTATGTTCAACACTTGTCCTTGCATATGTGAATACATTCCAAAATGAGCTTTCAAGTGTTGGTGAAGAAAGGAGTTTACACTGTGATCTTTCACTAAAATAAGAAACCAGCGTTTATAAGATGAAGTCACTGAAAGTAAATAGAAGAATTTATTGGGTAAAACAACATCCAGAGATACTGTGAGAACAGATCTAGCAAGAAGATAGGATGGATAGATAATACCTAGGGGGAAAGGCAGAAGCCAGGAGGCACTTGTGGCTGCAACAGTTAGAGGACTGGGCAAACAGGAGCCTTCCTCTATAAAGAGAAACAGGAGGGAAACCAAAATGCTTTTACTCTAAGGCCTTGGCCTGAAGGTGGCTGCTTTTTATTTGCAGACTTTGCATGGCAAACATGCAAATCCATCTAATGATATTGCACAAGGTGGGATTATTCAGGTATATCATAACAATTTTCCTATCTTTTGCTTCACCTGCTACTCAAGGTTGCCCATTTATTTTAAATTCTAAATAACTTAGCAAAGGTTACTGCACACTTTCAAGCTTAACCAAGAGCCTAATTTGCCTTGATGATGTGCAATGATGATGTATAAAACTGAAAAAGCCCAGCTGAAGAAAGTACTTTTGATGTGAACATTCAACAGCAGTCAAAGCTTGGATTCTATTCCATTTTTATCAAGCCATCCTAAACACGACTTGGTGAAGCTGCTGAAGTTAGCTTCAATTTTTTTTTGTTGCATTTTTAATTTTATATTAAAAAAAAAAAAAAAAAAAAAAAAAAAAAAAAGTAGTGGCCTTGTATGGGAACTGCTGAGTCATGGCCTGAACCTCTGATTGATCACCTGAGGCGAGCAATGAGTCAGCCAGAGGAGCACAGGTGAAGGCAATTCAGCTGTGCTGCCAGAAGGGGTGGAACCAGGCTCCACCCCTCCTAGACCTATTTAAGAGTTGGCTACAAGTGGGGAAGGATCTATTCTGGAGATCCCCTTTTCTGGTGTTTTTTGTGGGTGAGCCTAGCATAAGGGTAAGCCTTCCATTTATTCTCTCTTGTTATCTTTGCCCAACTCTCTTGTTATTTCTTTTTTGTGATTATAGCATCTCGATATCCACTGATTATACGGGCCTTCAGTATGTTTGTCTTGAGAGTCAATAGAAATGAAGAGATCTGCAGATGAATATCCTCCTATATGTGTGCTTTGAAATCTGTATGGCTGTTTATTTTTCATAGAGTGAAAAAAATAAAGCATTTTAATTTAAAATGGAATGCTATTACAGCCCTTATATTAATTTGATATTCTATCAACTCGAAATGTTGGTCAGCAGGACTTCCATTAAGCAAAAATAACTTATTGTAAATAAGAAATGAATAGTTTGTTCTAATTAGGAAAAAATAACAGACAATCTAGCGAGGCTCTTGCCTGAGTAAGTCTAGTTTGGGAAGAACCCTTTCTATGAGAAAAGAACTGGAAATCAATTCCTATATTTTCACTGCTTTGTATTTCATGATAGTAAAGTAAAAGTTCATTAAAAGAAAAGGAATGAAAGCAAGTGACCCTGAGTGTGTTTTTACCCTTTAGGGAGACCTGGTAGGACTATAATGATATTTGGTAATGTGAAGTTCTTTTGCTTCATAAATGCTGAGTTTGCTAAATGAGAATCAGTGATGATACATTAAAGAAGTATTCTTCATTTTCCGGTGCTGTGCATGCACAAATAGCATTCTAATAGCTCATTCTGTGGCTGCAATTTAACATATTTTAATGAGTCTTTGATATTCAGGGACTCCATGTGCATTGGAAGCAGCACACTTTTTTTATTTTTATTTTTTAGTGTGAATGAAAGCCAAAATTTTCTGTGGTATATTTGCAAGGCCAGAAATCATGTTGTGCTAACCACTTCTGCATCATCATCTGTAAGTAGTAGTTAGTAGAAAACTTTCTAATAAGCACCCAGTGCATGTTGACATAACTAGAAAAACTCAGGCTAGGGAAAAGAAGGTATAAGTCTGTCATCGTTTATTTCCTCTGCCAACCCTGGTCATTGCTGTGCTGTCCATGTTACAGAAAACAGTATCATTTGTGGAGATATAAGATAAAGGCCTGTTAACATTCCACCTAATGCCACCTAACATTCTACCAGAGGTGCTTGTTTTTACTTTGTTACTAACATGGAGTTTCTAGCATCTTGAAGACATAAAAAAGCTGCACAAATAATGACCAGTAATTCTTTCTGTTGAATATTAAGTGCATTCCTTCTTTATTCCTTAGCTGTAGTCTCAGAGATTCCAGGGTGCCCTCATAACATTTCCCCCTTTTCTATTGACTATTCATTTGCCTATAGCACATACTCAAAAGTTCTAGATATTTTTCAGTGCTAATTTTTGCTTTTGATTAGCCACAAACCTGTACAGCATGAGATAGAATTTACAAGAGGCGTTAAGCATGTGGCACGCATTGCAAATACCAGGATTATGTTCCATTTGCAGGAGTAGAACTCACACCCATTCTCTTACACTCCTCCTTAATACCTTCAAAATTCATCTCAGTACTTATTTAGAGAGGTTTGTTTGTTTGCTTGTTTTTGTAATAGGTATTTGAAAAGTGTGTTTCCATGAAATAGCACACCTTTTAATGACCCTCTAAAACTGCATATGGGTTTAGCACTGTTTAGAGCTGCAAATTGTTTGAGAAAAAGTATCATCATTCTTACTGAACAACTTTTTTTTTTTTTTTTTTTTTTTTGTCATGTTTTGTACTGTAGTAACCATTAATCCTCCCAGATATCTTAACTGAGTGACGTGGTCATATGCTGGATAATCACAACATTCTCGATGATTTATTATCGTAGAATCACCAAATGATTTGGATCAGAAGGGACTTTAATCTACTTCCAACTCCTCTGCCATAGATGGGAACACAAGATTAGGTTGCCTGAAAACTCTAACCAACCTGGCCTTGAGCACTTCCAGGGATAGGACAAAACTTCTCTGGGCAACTTATTTCAGCAGCTCGCCACCATCACAGCAAATAATTTCTTCTTTATAGTTAAACTACATTTACCCTCTTTAAACTTTTAGTTGATTTTTTTAAGCATTATTAGTTTTAAGCCCTATTTTCTTTCAATTTCCTCTAGATCAACTGAGCTCATTACCATTCTGTCACATCAGTATCTAGGTGAAGTCTTGTGCTTTATAAATCTAAAGGTTCTTCACTGATGCAAAAATGCAGTCTACAAATTTACTTTGGTATAGATATATGTGAATTTACATGCAGTGGAATATGAATAAAAATGGAATGTACTGGCTCTTAATAACTGTTCTATGCACTTTGGAATAAACAAACTCTAGAGAAAAGATGCCAGTACCAGCTTATCAAGAGTTTGTGTCTCATGCCAGTGTTCCACAAAGCTTTTTTTGTTTCAGTTGGTGATTGCATCTGGAACTATCAGACTAATAGTATAAGCAACTTTTTTTTTTGGGTGGGTGGGGGGGGAGCTCCCCTCCAGAGGAGCTGTTATTCACATTTATTTTATTTCACAGTCTCATCTTCTAGGTTTGTTCCTGAAGGCCAGAACTATGTTGTGCTCTTCAGCAAAGGCCCTCATCATTCTTGAATACAACAAAGTTGTTATTATTTCTTTTAACAACTAATGAAGTTTTTACCTTCCACATTGGTGGAAGGTAAGGATAAGCAACTTAACTGCCTGAGAAAAATTTGTACTGTTTAAACAAAAATGTTTATGAAGTTAATTATTCAATTGTGGATATAATATTTAAATGATATATTTACAAATATATAAAATCCAGATGAAGAGCAGAATAAAAAGTCATATGATTTAATTTTCTTAAAATCTTGCATCTATTTTGAATGTCATGTCCACACATTTTCTTCTTGCATGATCCTCTCAAAATCAGTTATGAAAAGTCTGCACATTTTGGATGACTTAACTTATGCATTTGCCTGCTTAGCTGTGTCCTGAGCTCTCAGTAGTGCTGTCTTAAATTTGTCATCTTTTGCCTACAACCATCTCCTGCATATAGTCTGTCTTAAGCGTTTCATTTAAGGCAGTTTCAGATACAGTGTCTCCACAAGGACAGGATAAATTTCTCCTTTACCCTGAATCAGTTAGTTGCTTTAGCCCCGTATTTCCTTTCTCTTCCCTCACTCAGAAAGTATCACTTGAATTGACTTCAAGGCAAAACAGCCAGGTAACAGTTACTAGAAGTGGTGTTGGCATCTGTTTCACTATAACACTTACTGACCACATACTATGTAACTTGAAGTGTTCTTGGTATGTATACAAACTAACCTAAAGTCAAGAGTTCATGCTGAAAAGCATTGTTCAGCAGCCAAGTTCGTGTCAGTGGAGGAAGGAAAATTTTTGAGTAGTAGCAACAGTTTTAGTAGATTAGAAATGAGAACTTTCTCCATATTGCAAAAATTTAATTAGTTACTTAAATTTTCTTCTTTTACTTTAAAATAAGCCTTTGGACTGGGGATAAGTATGAGAAATTTCAGCCTGACAGGGATCTTTTCAATGCTAAAAGGTAGTGAAAATAGTGCTAAGGATGGAATTACTCCTGTAGAATATTAACCATGAATATGTATTATTCTTTTTACATGACACTGCAACATTTCTGTTTTGGAAATATTTTTACACTTCAAAGTTCTCTCTCAATACAGTTGGATTCTCTGCTGCTTCACAGGTTGTTGATGCAAATAGGAGTAGTGTGTCTTCATTTTTACTTCATTTATTAATGCAAATTGATGAGGCTGGGTGATTTTTCAGAGGAAGAACTGAAAAAGGTTCAGAGGTGGTCTTACCCATAAGTACATACATTTTTTTTTTTTTTTTTTCCAACTTTATCATCTGGTATTTGGTGCTGATGATTTTACATATCTTACTTCGTTCAGTTATCCAAGTAATCCAGTCGAGTCAGTAAAATTTCCACATCATTCTTGTTATTTATCACCCTTGTAACACTTATTAATTTCACAGTAAATATATGGAAAAGCTAAGCAGTTTTTGAAGTATGAATGTAAAAGTGTGTATAGCAACATATCTTCAGTGAAAATTAGTCATAATTACTAGGCTATTTCCTAAAACTAAATATGAAAGAGGTAGTTAATGTAGTAATTCTTTCATTTTAATATATTGTGATTCTTAAATAGGGGAAGTTAAATGAATCTGAATTTTAATGAATATTTTCTAAAAGGATGAATAAATTATACAAACATATACAGTGTAACAATGAAAACAGAACAAATGCTGAAGATTTAATATCAGAGTAATGGCTGTTACCTTTATTATTTATTTTGATAAACTATTTAATTAGATTCCACTCAAAAGTGAAAATTAGTAACTTCTGTTTTTATCGTGCCAAGCACCCAAAAGCAGAATCAGTGGCATCTTAAATATTTATATAAAATTTTTGAGAGCATGATTTAATTTACCTTTCACTTTTTAAAGAGAAAGATAATAATGAAAAATGAATAACCTTAGAAAAAGTCTTCTTCAAGCCTGCCATTGTAACATGCTATTAACCCTGCAAAAGATGTTGAATCTTGTAGTCACATCCATATATTTTGTACAACTTACACACTTGGTATCTCACACATTCTAATCAAATGCACTTGAAGTCTTCAATTTTTTTCTGATCTCAGAGATCTGCCTCACATGATGTGACAACACTCTGCTCATAGCTGTCTCATCTAAGGAAACTTAAGTCACTGTTACCATGATGGATGATAAATATATTTGTTGTAAATTTCCAGTCTTAGTCTCAATAGTGCTTATGTGATATCAGAGCTCATTGCTTCAATATTTTTTTGCTATTGACTTTGTGGTCATACACGGCTTAAAGTCTGCATGACATATACAGAAATAATGATTTATTTTCAAATTTTTATGGTTGAGAGCTGTCTTAAGTAATGACATTAGGAAAATACTTAGAGAATATTATTACAGATTTCTTGATCACTCAGAAGGCTAGAATTACCTCTACAGGTCGAGAAGCAGGTTGTA